ATCATTTGGAACAACTAAATCATATGGTTTTGGAACCTCATTAGGTAAAGTGCTTCTATATGTATGAGATGACACATTTATTGACTGTTGTGCTAAAGGTAGTTGAAGTGGTATAGAATCACCTGGAAAAAGATGTATAATATCAGTTGCATATTTTTTAATAAGTTTGTTGTTTTGTTTAAGCCAATTCAAGACAAGAATTAAAATTTCATGAAATCACATTTGTGGTTCATTGGCATTCAGAAAAGCTCCAATTGTTCCAGAATATAATTCTAAAGCACAATAATTATCTGTAATATTGATTTGTCCTTCAGGTGAACATAATTTATATAATGATTAGATCCAGTTGAGCGACCCAATGAGCAATTCATATGTACAGGTGAAAGGTATTTATGATGTAACATGGGAACATTTTGAATCTCAGGAGGAATAGATACTAGAATTGAAGGATATCTTCTATTTTTCTCATTTTACATCCATTACAAACAGCAACTTGTTTTATGTTTCTATTGTTTTCTTTTACAAATGGATTGATATTAGGCAACATTAATGTTAAATTATGTTTCATTTTCATCATGGGGTATCTATTTAGTATTTGATTTCATCATTATGATTGAACAGTGAGCACAAGGAATATTTGGATATTCAAATAAGATATTGTTTTCAAATTCATGCAAGAGATGGTGTATATCAAGTGATGGAGACCACAACAAATTAAGATTTGGATTCATAGGAAAAGAATGGTTTATATCTAATTGAGTATTAATTAAATCTAGGATTATTTGGTAAATTTTGATTTATTTCATTTCGATGAATATAGGATTGAAAAATATTGATATCATCATGAGTGTTTTCTGTGGGATTTTCAGAATTTTCATATCCCAATTATCTAAGACCAGTTGAACCAAATCCACTTTCACCACGATTAGTCACTTCTAAATCCTAATTAAATGATGCATAATTTAAAAACAATAATAAAATAATAATAATAATAATAACAATAATAATACGATAACTTACTTCCACTTCAACAACTTTAGGTGTAGAAATACATTCTAAAATAAGTTGAGCAATTCTATCACCTTCTTTAACTAATTAAACAATTATAAATTAATAATGAATCTTTAAAACAACAACAATAATCATTCTTATCTTTTCTCAAACTAACCTTTATAGTCATTATCACTAAAATTAAATAAAAGAACACCAAGTGGTCCACGATAATCAGGATCAATTACACCAGCTCCACAATCAAGAAAATGATTTAATGCTAAAAATTTTTTTTATGTTTTCAAAATAAAATATCATCGTTATTATAAACTATTAATCCATCTTTAAAGTATATAATATGACATAGATAGATTTATAAGTATACCAAGCCCACTTCTTGGTGCAACACGACCATAAGTTCCTGATGGAATTGATACAGCTAAGTCTGTAGGTATTAAAGCTTTTCCTTTAGCAGGAATAATGATATCTCGAGCACTAAATATATATCAAGATTAGACAAGATGTTGTGTGTACATGCATGGATAAAATTATACTCATGTGAATGAAAGTTATATATTACCTGTATAAGTCATAACCAGCAGCTTGACTAGAGCCACGTACAGGTAATGTTGACTTTTCACTTAAACGTTTAACATAGAACATATCCATATCGACAGATTTTAATTTTTTAAAAGAAAAAGAAAAAATACGCGACACGATTTCAGGGACAACGATTTTTTGCGTTCTGCCCTAAAAGAACAGATCAGCATAATTTGATTACTATGTATTACAAGGAAATTGGTTGATCACCGCAGAAAATCATTAGTACACATTTAGATTGATAAAAAGATCCCCATTTGTTTATGTATTAGCTGAAATCTTTCTTGGATGGGAGGGAACGGGTAGTGTGATTATGCGACTATAATGATCACTAAATATGATTAATTCGAAGAAAAATTGACGGTGCAATGTCAATCAGTATCTTTAATTAACCAGCTTTGAGCAAATGAAAGTAAAAGTCTTCTGAAGAGAATTACCCGACACTTGGGAAAGTATTGATTTTGATCAAATTAGACATCAATCAATTATCAAAATCTTCTAAAGTTTTTGTTGCCAAATCCAAGAAGTGTAAAACAATATTCAATTATGTGTATATTAACAAAGACTTAAAAGAATTAGATATGGTAGCTCAGTTATTGAAGTTGAAGGAAGGAAATAAATTAGAAACTAATATATGATGAATGAAAAATTGAATTATATATTTTAAAAAGAAATAAATTATATAAATTATAAATTATATCCAAAATTATTCGAAATCCATTCATTACATTTGGAGAAACTTTTGATAAGATTAGATGACTTATTAAAACACCTAGGGTTTTTATATCGCGATAATTTGGATTGAATTAATATGTGCAATAATAAAAGTATTTCTTTAGATAATTTTAATCTAGACTTTTGAATATGAAATTAACTATATAGAAGAATTTTTTTTACTTAATAGTTCACGTATATGAGTAGAACTTAATTTTAAATTTAATTCGTCATCTTTAAGTGATGAGCTTGATGGTGATATTACTTCAATTACTAAGATATCCAATGGTTCAAGGTGAATTTTTTTTCTTTCCTCATTAACTATTATTCCCCCAAAAAAGAATTATTATTATTATTATTTTTACAAGATAGATAAACATAAAATTATATATTATTACTATGTATTTAAACTAATTTTAGTTGCTCACTTATTTCACCATTGCTGAGTGTTTCTTTGGACACAACAAGCGCTTGAATTTCAGGTGTTATTACCGTTGGACCATAAATATCATATAAAGGAACAACCTTAAAAAATGTTAACAAAGAAACTGTTTTTTATAATTCAAATAACCTCTTTTACTTCCAAGTATATATATCTAATCACCTTATACTCTAAACAACATCTAATTGAATTAAGAAATTTGGTAACTTTTTCAATGCGCACCTCAGTTGATTCCAAGAATTCTTTATATTTTTTGTTTTTAAGCATATTTTCAGCTAAAATTTCATTATCATCATCACCATCATCATCATTATTATTACTATTCAAGTCGTTGATATCAAATCATGTAAATAAATATATTCTAGTTATATTTACCTACCTGTAACACCACATGTAATTTTTTTTTGGGAAATCCAAGCTGTCATAGTTAACATAATTTTATGGCCTGCATGTAAATGATCGAATGTGCCTCCCACCGCAACACTTTGATATATTGTTTTTCCCAAAGATTTATTGTCATCACCATTTTTGATAATTCCAGTTTGTTGTGGTGGTGGTGATAATTGTGGTGATGAATTACTTTTTATGAAATGAATTGGTAATTCAATTAAATTTGAATTCTTTCGATTTTCATTAAATCCTTCCAAAATATTCTTTTCTAAATGTATTAATCATAAAACTATGAATATAATATGATAATAAATGTAAAATATATTTATATATACCATGAAAACTCCCAAAAAAAGCTTGAAAATCTTTTCCCAATTCCACTTGATATCCGCACCAATTCTCAAAAATGACAACAATATCAATAAAATACTTTTCAATTTCATATGCAATTTTTGAACCACAGATGTAAACAGCATTTAAAAAGTCATTAATTTCACTCCAACTTGAAATTGGCGAGGTTTTGGAATAATTTTCAAATTTTGGTGATGATATATAAATTGTAAGACCGTCTGTTACATTATTGATGATTATTGAACGAATCAATTCTTGATGAAAATTATTATATGACTTTAGTGTAGGCAAAGAAATGTACAGCAACGCTTTGTTATACAACATTATCTTTGATAAACTTGTAGTAGGAAAGAAATGGAGTTGGAAAATTTTTTCTCTAAATAGATTTTTTTTAAACCAAAATAGTAAATAATATTGATCTGAAATCATATGAGAAAATTGATCAGCAATATAAAAATAGTTTAAAACTGGCGTTAAATTATTGCGAAAAAATACGAAATCAATGCTGTGACCTAATACTAACACTAATGCTAAATTCTTTTGAATTCCATAACCATTTCTGAAGAGGGCCTGTACTAAGCCTAAGCCTTAACCTAAACCCCTGCCTACCTTCTAAACTAATTTCAGGTGGTTTCGAGTTACAGCATTGGTCGAAAGAAATTTATTTAGTATGACAAATTGTAATGTTAGCAGCTCACGCGGAAGCCCTCATTTGATGGAAGAGAATCTTGACCAATTGATGTCAAGCAAATTCTATACTTATTCGTTTATTTATAAAACAAAAATTTCTTTTACATGCATGAATCAATTCCTCCTTTTTTAAAAATTCTGACGTATGAGTCACACGATATTTCGAACTTTTGTGGTAGTAATCTTTCGTTTACCATATATCCACCCAAGTAAGAAAATATACGTACGCATCCAGCATTATTAGAAGAGCTGATTTTTGTAAAGAATTGTCATTATCATCAGTTGCATTCCACCACATTCTTGGTGTATCATATAATTAATATCATACGGTCTCGTTTTCTGAACCTTGCGAATGACACTAGCTGCTTTTGATATTAATATCATAAATAATTATATAAAATCACAGATAAATAGATGTAGCAATAATAAAATAAAAATAATTAATAAGTGTTATAAAAAAAACAACATTTACTTCGATGATTCAATGTCAAATTCCTCCCATCTATTGTTAAATCCAGGCATTTTGATTTTATATGTCAGGTGAACCAGTTGAATAAAACATCAGATAAGTGGCAATTATTTTGTGGTTTCATATGCTGATGTCCTTCTTGTTTTAACAAAAGTTTTAAGGCCACCCTGAATGTTTAACGCAACTGCTGTCTAAGATAAATGGTTATGACCAATATAAAGATTTTTATATCGGTAGCTCGGATTAAATATGTTGGCAAAATTAACGAAACAACTGGTGGTCAAGTTATTTGTTATTTTCAGAACTGACTTCAGGCCTGTATTTCAAATATTTCAAAACAATCTGATTTTGTGATTATAAGTGTTTATAAATATATTTATTGTATCTGATATTCTATAGAAATTCCTCGTCTATATACTTTTCAAACAAAAAATCGCTAAGAAACTACAAATTTAAAAAAATCAAAGTGAAAAAAACAGAAAATGAACTTCACGCCAATAATGTGAAGACTGACTATATATACTTTTTTTTTTATATTAATATTATCTGCGCATATCACATGACATAAAATTAAACCAATTATTTAGTAATCATCCTGAAAATCTGAAAACAAAAAAAAAAAAAAAACCAAAATGGAAGACTCTACTACTACAACCAGTTCAATTATTGAAGAAAATACACAAAATGTGGCAAAACAATTAACAAATTCAAAATTAATTGAATTTAAAAAGATTAAAAATAAAACAGGTGTCATTTATTTGTCAAGAATTCCACCTTTTATGAAACCTGCTAAAATAAAACATTTGTTAAGTCGATATGGAGAAATTGGTCGTGTGTACTTGGCACCTGAAGGTAATTTGGACAATGCTTAGAAGGATTTTTTTTAAAAAGAAAATCACAAAAATAATAAAAATAATAACAGTAACATCCCTCATAAAAGATGCTAAAATTCATGCTAGAAGAAAAAAATATGGTGGTAATAAAAAGAAAAATTATGCAGAAGGTTGGGTCGAGTTTTTAGATAAAAAAGATGCCAAGAATGTAGCAAATATATTGAATACTCAACCAATAGGTAAATTTTTTTTAAAAAAAATAATGTTTCTTATAATGAAATATTATTAATATTGATATGATTGTAGGAGGAAACAGAAGAAATCATTATCATGATGATTTATGGAATATCAAATATCTTTCAAAGTTCAAATGGAGTAATTTAACAGATCAAATTGGTTTGTATAAATATATATTTAAATGAATTTTATATATAATTCCAAGGAAAATATTATTTAATTATTTTTGTTATGATTAAAAATATAGCATACGAGAATGCTGCTAGAGTTCAACGTCTCACAGCAGAAATTTCACAGTCACGAAGAGAAAATAAAGATTATATAGCAAAAGTAGAAAAGGCAAAAAAAATAAGAAACATTATTCGTTCTAAAGAAAAATCCAGTCTCAATAATAATAAAAATCCCCCTGTTTAACCAATCAAGAAATTTTTTGGAGCTGATTCTAAAAGAATTATTTTGTTGAATGTCTGATAACACCAAGTTGAAATTAAAAAAAAAATTTAAATTGTAATATTATTAATATAATAGATATTTTTTACGAGGCTTTCATGTGAAAAAAGCTCAGCCATGCTTTATACAAATTTAAGCACATCCTTACGAATTTCTTTAGGTATTTGAGGTTTTTATCTTTATAATTAATAAGGAATTTGTTGAAAATTGAGTGGAAAAAAAGTTGTTGGCAAATAAAATATTGGGGAGGATGATGAAAAAATATATATGTGCTTTTTGTAGTACTTCAGGAAAGTTATTTAGGACATATATTTTTAATGTTCTCAGTGATATTCTCTTGAGTTAAAATGACCAGTTGGGCTAATATCTTCTGATCTGAGTTTATGTGAATAGTGAAAAAATATAAAGAGGATATATGTTAAATAAAAATATTCATGCTTCCTTTGAGCAGACACCAACCCTGCTCCGAATTGTGACCTCCTGTGCTTGAACGAGCTGCAGATTCTCTTAATATTCCTCCATAGTTGCGACTTGGTCACAGAGCCATCCTTACCCTAGAGATAGGATCGTTGCGGGCAACTTTTCGGCTAGTGTGCCAGCAGCCTTCTCTGGTCTGGGTGCTGTAAGGGAAGGTTAATTAAAGCGTCATTAACGATTGGTGCAGTCTTGATGCATTCCAGGGCCATGCCACCCCCGTAATTCGGTTGCATCATTGTATCATTGGGCGTCGCAGGTTGGTTTAGCCTTGTGTACATGAGGAATGTAAGGGAATGACGGTAGAGTGTTCAAGGTATCGTGCGTGCTTCAACGCCTGTCAATTTCCGATAATCAAACGTCTCATATTTGAATTGTTTCTTTTTCAACAATGTGCTGCCTTGACATCTTGTAATTATAATATTAATATTAACGATTACGCAAAGCAAAATATCAATCGTTTATTATCTTGACATGGATCTTATAATTACCCAGTTCTGCGTTTTGATTCCAATTAAAATATTTGTAAAATAAAAGACACCACATTATATCAATGTAAATTAAAAGAAAGTACCTCTGTCATTATTAACACGTCTTCAGGCCCAAACCATACCAAACAACATCACTCACGTTTTATCATTGAAAAATAAATTGTTTTTCAAAAAAAAAAAAAATCAATCATGTTAGCAAAAAAAACCAATAGGGTTATATAAATAAATTTGTACGCGTTTGTCGATCAAATAATAAATTTCTTTTTCTTCAATCATCTTTTTCAATCAAAAAAAGAAGAAAAGACAATAATGCAGCAGAAGCAGTTTCTGGGCATAGAATGGTGGTGGTGGTTATTGCCACTCTAGTTTTAAAAATAAAAATGGGAGTAAATATTATTAATATGATGGTCACTAGTCAGCATATTCATATGTCCGTTTCAATTTTTTGATATATTGACTTTTACTTGCATTTATTTAAATCTAGGACGTTAATTATGGATCTAATTCGGAAATCTTATGTGTATGTATTTATGCACTTTCCTTATTATAAAGAATCTCACATTCTTGACCACTTGCGTACAATGTCATTAATTTTCTATTACATAAATAGCATGAAAAAGAAAATATTCCTCCACTTTCAAATGAATTGACTAGGCGACGAAAAGTAATAGGTATTTATTTTAATATTACTACTTTCATAGAACTCCTTTAATCAAGTTCGTTTATTTTTTCTAGTATCAAAGAAGCAAAAGATTATTAAAGGTATGTACACAGCTTCCATTATTTCTTTTTTTTTTTTTCAAGAAAATTTTGTAACAGACTAATCTTCTCTTTGATGACTATAGGTGGGACCGTTACTCTTTTTGCAGGCAAAGGCGTTCCTACCAGAATCAGCAGTTTTAATCAGATTGTAGAACGAAATCTTACTTTTCTTGACAAAACTTTACTCATTGCTGACTTCCTTGAATGTATTTCAGCAGTCTCTGTCATCTTGCGACCAAGACGTTTTTGGAAAGACAACAAATATCTCAATGTTAAAGAATTTTTTTTCTATTCCTAATAATCTCGATAATATAGACTATCGGTGTGAATTATTCAAGGACACTAAAATAATGGAGAAGTCGGACTTATTCAAGGGACACTTTTGCAAGCATCCGATCATATATATATCTTTCAAGGTATGGTAATTTATAATGATTACAAAGATTAATTTTCCAATAAAAAAATCTTTTAAATAAATTTCTATTTTTGTTTATTCATAAGATTAGATTGTATACAACTTTACTATTGTTCATTTGATTGGCTATTATATGTATTTTAGGAGAGTTGGTTGATTAAAGGAATTACATATTAACATGTAAATTTAATAATGATAAAAGTCATTAATTAATGATATTAAATTTGTTAATATTAAAAGAAAATTTAGTAATATTTATTACTATTATGATAACAAAATTTTGAACCCTGAAACTCTTGGTAATACCAATGTTCACTTTGTCTGGCTTTGTTGCAGTATGCCCATATGGAATTTATCGATCTGGGAAAATGTAGATCGCGTTCAGTGTTACATAGGTTTTTTTAATTTTTTTAAATAACTTAAAAATAAGTACCTGGCTGTACAAAAATGTCTAACTTCGTACCTTTTCAACTTTCAACTTCATTGGAAGGCCATGATTTAGATGTACGAGTGTTAATAATTAACATCCATTATTGTTTTTTTAAAAAATGTTTATTTTAATTTTATAACCTTTTCTTTTAGGTTAAAGCAGTTTCTAGCCCTAATGATAATATAATCATTTCAGCTTCTCGTGATCAAAGTGCTCGCTTATGGTCTAGAATTTCGGCAAATGCATTTGAAGAATCCAAAATTTATTTGGGACATTCAAATTTCGTTAATTCAATTACATATGTTAAACCTTCTGAAAAATATCCTCAAGGTTAATTGGAATGCTCGTCAATTTTTTAAAAAATTATAATTTTAAACCAATTCAGCGAAAATATTAACAGAATACTTATGATGCTGTTATTATCATAGGACTTATTGTGAGCGGCAGCAGCGACAAGACAATTAATGTATTTGATGCAGAAAATGCTGGTGAACCGATTTATTCTTTAATTGGGCATTCAGGAAATATATGCACACTAGAGGTTACACCATCAAATCATATAATTTCAGGCTCTTGGGATAAGTCTGTATAATTTATATTCAATATAATTTTCTCAAAATGGATGTTAATCTTTCTAATTTAATAAAATTTGATAATACAGAACAGCAAAAATATGGATAAATTGGCAAGATTCATGTACATTGAAGGGACATTCACAGGCTGTATGGGCTGTATTAGCATGGAGCGATGAGTTAATATTGACTGGTAGGTTTAATGTTTAGTTATTGGTTAGTGTTCCTTTTTCTACACATATATTTATTATTATAAAATTTTAAATTAGGATCTGCTGATAAATCTATTATAAAATGGCAAAATGGAAAACGTATTCATACATACAAAGGTCATACTGATTGTGTTAGGGGTTTAGCTTTATTACAAAATATTGGATTTGTATCTTGTGCTAATGATAGGTCTGGATGATTTTATATAATTTTACTCCAAGGTGGAATCCAAATAGTAAAAGTTTTTATATTTTTATCTTATCAATCTTCCAGTACACTTCGGATTTGGACTCTAGATGGTCAATGTATTCAAGAATTAAGTGGGCACGTGTCATTTGTTTATTCTATTGATGTTTTGCCTAGTGGTGAAATTATATCAGGTGGAGAGGATAGATCAATCAAAGTCTGGAAAGGTTTACTATTTTTTTATTTTATAAATGTGTATTCGTAAATTTGTTTAAATTTGATTTTTCCTAAATTTTATTAAAACAGACAACACATGTATTCAAACTATATTGTTCCCTGCGACATCTGTATGGTGCGTTACTTCAATGCCCAATGGTGATATTGTCAGTGGTTCAAGTGATGGAATAATTCGTGTTTTTACTAGAGTACCAGAGCGTATTGCTGATCAAAATGTTTTGAAGGTATTCATAATAGAATTTTTGAACTCAAAATGAAATTATTTTATTTTCTGATAACTCATTATATTTATTATGTTTTTTTCATTTAGGATTTTGATGAAAAAATTTCAAAACAAGCTATTCCAAAGTATATAAAAATAATGATCTTTTTGTTTGTTTATTTATTTATTTGACAATTGATAATTATCTTGATATTTTATAAGAAATCAAGTTGGGGATTTGAATAAAGAAACACTTCCCGGATCTGAGGCATTACTTCGACCAGGTTTTTTAAGGCTTTATATTTGTTTATATTTAATTAGTTTGGAATTCTAAAAAAAAAATTTTTTTGAATAGGAGAAACGGACGGTCAAGTATTGATGGTTCGTAATGGTGATTTAGTTGAAGCTCATCAGGTAAAAGAATACCTATTAAAAATATTCCTTTGTGCTTAAATAATTTGCATTATATGACTTGTTATTTTTATTAATTCTTAAAAGTGGAGTGAAGCCAGTAAATCATGGAAAAAGGTTGGAGAGGTTGTTGACGCGGTCGGTCAAAATCGCAAACAATTATATAATGGAATAGAATATGATTATGTATTTGACGTTGATGTTGGAGAAGGGATGCCACCATTAAAACTTCCATATAATGCCACAGGTTTATACTATATTCACACATATGCATTGATCATTATATGTTGGTTTTAATAAATTATTAATTTTAAATTTAATTTATAATTTTAGATAATCCTTACCAAGCAGCACAACAATTTATTTGGGCCAATGAACTTCCACAAAGTTATTTGGATCAGGTAGCAGATTTTATAACAACAAATGCACAAGGAGTGTCAATAGGCACAGCCAATCAATACTCCGATCCATTTACAGGTACCGATTCAAATTATTTTGTATTCATATTTCTTTTAATAATATAATAAGTGGTGACTCACATTTAATCATAGGCGGCTCTAGATATACACCCGGAACTTCAAGTTCATCAATACCATCTGTGAGTTAAGATTTTAATGTTTGATTTAATTAGCAAAAATTCATTTTATTTAAAGTTTGTTAATGATAAAATAAATAAATAACAGAACACTAGGCCAAATTACCTTGATCCTTGGACTAGTTCAGGAGCCTCTAGCAGTGGTACTTCTGAAACTAAGAAAATAATTCCACAAGTATGTTTTATAATCTAATATATCCGTATGTTATCGTATATTTTTAACGATTGTCTTTTTTCCTCTATAAATATGTATAGAAAACATATTTAACGTTTCGTCAGGCCAATCTTCAAGCTATATTAAAAAAAATTAATCAATTTAATAATGAGTTAAAAGATGTTTCATTGAGTTCTGAAGAATTTGCTATTTTGGAAAATTTGACAAAATTTTTACAGAATCCAGATCCCAAGCTTGCCTCATCACCTGAAAGAGAGAAAGAATTTCTTATCATTAAGAAAGCCCTTACTCTTTGGCCATCGCATTATCTTTTCCCGGGTAGTTAATTAACTTGTAAAAATAATAATAGCGAATTATTATTATTACTATTTATTGATTAAAACTATTGATATATATTTTTATATATTAGGAATTGATTTATTACGTCTCCTCAGCCTTTACACATCTATTCCCGCACAATACTCGGATGAAAAAGGAAGTATCGTTAAGTTTATAGAGTCTGTAATTGGAATAAGTTCATGGGTTGGTGATGAACAATTGTCAAAAGAAAAGGAGACCAATTTAATGTTATATTTTAAAGTTCTTGCCAATCTTTTTGATTCTAAGGAAGGAAGAGATGTTATAAGGAAAGAATCTGTTGCTGTAAGTTTAATATTTATGTATACATAAACTTTTTGTTTTTAATTATAATTATTTTTTTTTTTTAATTTTTTAGATTTTTGAATTAATGTCTGATATATGGAAAAAGAGCACAAATACAAATTTACAAATTGCTTTTATCACAATATATTTGAAGTAATTTATAGAAAGAGAATTTTATAAGAGTTTTATATAATAATTATTTATTATTAATTAAAAACTTCAAATATAATTTTATTTAATAGTTATTCAGTTTTATATGCTACAAGTCCAGATGAGAATCTAATTATTCAGATGATTGCTACGATTGTAGAGGTAGGTGTATTTTAATTTTATGAGAGAAATTCATTGTGTTATTTTAATAATTGTGTTTATATTAACGATAATGAAACACTTTTACGCATGTATAATGATAGCTTTTAGAATCTGAGAGAGATTCAGAAGTGGTATATAGAGCTTTAGTGACTTTGGGAACATTGGTAAGGAATTTCGCATAATATCATACGCTTGTTATGATGTATATTTAAATATCTATATATATACACTTTATTAATAAATTTTAAACCTAGATATTTTGTCATGCTTCTGCAAAAGATGCTGCAAAAGTTTTTGATGTAAAGATTATTTTAAAAAATGTATCTGGGAAAGAGCCAAGAATTACTTCTGTATATGGTGAGTTTTTGCTTTCCATGTGTAAACTTATCTGTAAATTTTAACATCTAATCATTAACATTTTATTTTATTTTAAAGATGAAATTTTAAAATTGATCTAATATAATAAAGTTTTATTTATATCAAAACTTCTTTTTCAACTTTACATACATATTTATAATATTCGTCCTTTTAAATTTATTAATAATTTTCATGTAATACTTGCCAAAAATAATCATGGTGGAATATGAAATTTGATTATACAAGAGCACAGCAAAATTCGAAACATTTAATTTATTTTACTATTTAAAAATATAGCGAATAAATTCATTAGCCATTGTTGCTATAAATTAACATTAACAATATTATTCATTATTTACCAACGATGATAATGATTACGGTAAAATAGCATTTCTTCCCCACTCTTTATGTTTCCAAATACACTCACCTGCCAAAGTATTGGCAATTTTGCAGATCGCCGGAAATAATTGAACAAAGTGTAATAAAAATAACTCTAAATTTTATTATCACAATCACTTTTGTGTATTAAGCGAAAATCAATTTTCATAATGATTGCCATAACATACTTGAGTTTATAATGTTTTGTTTATAATTGATAATTTTATTAGCTTTAAAAGTCAAAGTAAAAAATTTTCAATTGATAACAAAACCTAATTGCCAAGTTTTAACATGTCTAGATAGCACAATAAAAAATGTGTGCCATGCTTTAAAATATATATATATATATTGGTAGAATAATAGGTAATACAAACATTCATCAAAATTGTTTTTAGATCTTCACGTTGTTTTTCGCAAAAAATCATATATTTAAATCAGATGACTAAAATTAGAGAGTTATCTGTTGTTGAGCGCGCAGAGGTAATTGGTGCTTGGAAATGTGATGTAAGCAAAACAGAAATAAGCAAAAGACTTGGGATACCATTGAGAACAATATATAATATTATAGAAAAATACAATAAAGAAGGAACTGTTGAAAATGATAAGAGAAGTGGGAGACCCAAGTCACTTTCAGATAGAGATAAACGTGCTTTAGTGAAATTTGTCTGAAAAAAATAGGAAAAATGCAGTAGAAGATTATAAAAACGAAATAAATAAGGTTCTCTCAAGGCCTGTAAGTACAAGAACAGTGCAAAGAAATTTACATGAAATGGGTTATTATGCGCGTGCAGGAAAAAGAAAGCCTTTATTTAATATCAGAAATAAATAGAAAAAAACGTTGTCATTTTGTGAGTTATTGTAAAGTTTGGTTAGAATGGGATGAAGCCATATTCAGTGATGAATCAAGATTCAATGTATTTGACAATGACTCCCAAAACTTGGTTTGGAGACAACCCCATGAGAAATATAATATTGATTGTTTAGTACCTAAAGTTGCACACTCACCTGGAATAATGGTATGAGGATGCTTTACTCGAGATCAAATTGGTCCACTAATACAAGTTGATGGTAGCATTACAGGTGAAGCATATGAAAAAATACTCAAAGATCACTTATTACCTTTTATTCAATCTTTGGACTCTTCAAAGTTATGGGTATTTCAGGATGATAATTCTCGACCCCACAGAGCAGGCAGGGTTGAACAATTTAAACAAGATAAAGCTCCGAACGAGCTGAGTCGAGCTCGAATATTCGAGTTCGAGCCAGCTCGCATACAGAAAAGTGTTGGCTCGAAATTTGATACTATTTTTTTATAAAATCACGATTTTGCAAATCACCGAAAATAATCGGTAATTAAAAAATTCCGAAATTTTAAAAAATTCAAATGAGAGATTCATGTTTTAACAATATTTGTACTTCTAATAAAAAACGTTTTTAGGTTCTGACATATATGCATACAGTCAAAAAAACCTTTGTTTTAACAAATTATAATTAAAGCGAATCATAATTAAATTCGCGTCACAATGAATCATAATTAAACTCACGTTCAACAAGTTTAAAAGCTTGTATACATCGCAGTTATTTGCGGAGAATTAAAACGAAATGCAAAATGTTTAAAAATTGTTGAATTGGGCTAGAGTTCCTATCATAATACAAATTCTTCGTTTTATATCCATTTTATTCTCGTTTTATCCGTTTGTTTTATTATTATTCATTTTATTAGTTTTTATTCATTTTATTCGTTTTTACTTGTTTTATTCGTTTTGTTCCTTTTGTTCGTTTTTATTCGTTTTATTCGTTTTATTCATTTTGTTCGTTTTGTTCGTTTTGTTCGCTTTTATTCCTTTTGTTCGTTTTGTTCGTTTTTACTCGTTTTGTTTGTTTTGTCCATTTTGTCCGTTTGTTCGTTTTGTACGTTTTTACTCGTTTTATTCGTTTGTCCGTTTTGCCCGTTTTGTTCGAGTTTACTCGTTTTATTCTTTTGTTCGTTTTTTTTCCTTATGTTCGTTTTGTTCGTTTTTATTTGATTTTATTCGTTTAATTCCTTTTGTTCCTTTTGTTCCTTTTGTTCGTTTTTATTCGTTTTGTTCTTTTTTATTCGTTTTATTCGTTTTATAGTGTTTATTTGAATAAGTTGAGCAGACTCGAGTTAAAACTTGAATTTTCAAGTTCGAGCTGAATTCAAGAAAACAGGCTCTTAAATGGGTTAAAGTATTAGGATTAATG